CATGATCCCGTTCGGCAGGGCAAAAAAGTTGACCGTGGGTGAGGGTTACATGCACCCCAAAGAAGATATCAAAGATTTCAACCAAGACCAGATTCATGCCAACTATGCTGCCGTGATACTTACATTGTATGCGACCGAATACGAAGAATTTGAAATGGAATATCCAAATGCAGAAGGGGTAACGATCCTTGGAGCTGCCTTGGGTTCCGAAGTCCTGTGGAACAAGGATGACATAGAGATCATTCTCTCGACGCCGACTTCTACGCTGACGGAGACACCAGCATCACAACCATCCGTTGCCGGATCTTGTCCCCCCGATGATCCAGATCACGGCGACGGCGATGACGAAGGCAATGGCGGGGATGACAAGGGAAGGAACTCACCCCGAGGCACAAGCCCTCACCCTCATTCTCCTCCTCCAACAACAAGTCCACCTCCACCTCCCGGCAGTCCGTCTAAGGGCACGAGCAAAGCACCGGGAGGCACAAGCCCTCACCCTCGTTCTCCTCCTCCAACAACAAGTCCACCTCCACCTCCCGGCAGTCCATCTAAGGGCATGAGCAAAGGACCGGGAGGCACGGAGGAACTAGGGGCAAAGACACCGCCTACTGCCATTGCGAGCACAAGCCACTGTCCTCCACTGCCGGCGAAGACTAAAGGCGACCAAGGGCAGCTCACATACTCACTTGAGTTCGAAAGGTATGGTAGCGGCGAGCATAATTTGCTAATAACTTTTCTTTGTCATAATATGGTACTAACATTTCTATCCCAGGCCGAGATCACCTTTCCATCTATTTCCTGAATCGGATGACTGCCCCAGCCATTACGAGCATGGGAAGTTCATGATAACCAAGGCCCAACTCGTCGACGAGGAAAGGTGGGAGACAAGGAGGTTTCATCTCTGGTACATGGAAGCGGCAAAAGCTGGCATGCATGGTTTTCTAGTCAAGGTTGTGGCGGAGTACTTCCACTTGCCCGGCAACGATGTAGAACTCCCCGTGGACTTCCACGACATGTACAGACTACTGCGGGAACAAGACCTTGACATCGCCCAAGTCACCTTGTTCTCTATGTAAGTGATGAATTGCGAGTTTCACATATCACCTGCCTTTGAATCGGTCAAGACTACTTATATATGCCATGATGGCTTGTCCTTGCAGGTTGATGGCCTATATATCCAAGGAACTAAAACTTGATGTTATCTATCTATCTCCAATGCATATTGCTCAAAGAATCATCATTGGTTATCACCTAGATGACAATCATCCAACCATGAAAGACTTGACCAAGCGACAGAGAGAGGCACACAGGAAGAAACTGATGGACAACAAGAAGTTGAACATTTCAAGGTACATACTAGGAGCAATGAAGAAGATCAGGGGACATGGGTGTATCCTAGCTGCCTACCACTTTGGGTAAGTCGAAGACATGCCTATAGAGATAAGTGGGTAGCTAGCTAGAATTATTATTTCTCGTCGTAACCTGTATTTTGTTTCAATGGCGCAGCCAAGGCCTCGAGGGTCACTGGGTTGCATTTATCATCTACCCTCAAGATGGCAGGGCCTGCGTATTTGATTCGTTGACACTGCCAAACTTAAAAGGGTACAAGGTCTTTGAAGATTGCCTCAAAGTGTAAGTGACTGAACTGTCTTCTAATATGCGTTCTAATGCCCTATCTAATACTAGTACATTTCGTATATAGCGCTTATAAGGAGTACGTGAAGGATCCTGAATGCTATGATCGAAGAATGGAGAATTTTAAGGCTAAGCATAAGAACCGCATCAAAATCAGACGCAACTTTTCGGTAAGTATTTGAAAGGTTTAATTGTGCTTTCCGTTCATATGCGTTCTAATTCCTGTGTTGTAATGCTTGCGTATCGATCATGCAGTGTACCAAACAACCGGTAGGATCACAAACATGTGGCTTCTATGCCTGTGAGTTCCTGAGGGTGTGCAAGCAGTACAACAGCAGTTGGAGGGTGCTCAAGAATGGATTGAACTGGTCGAGAGACATGCAGAGCATCCAACACAGCTTTAAGCAGACAAAGGCGGACATATGTAAGTTTGTCTTAGACAAATGCGTGCTTGAAGGGGGCACGTTCTTCCATGAGAACAGCCCGCTAGCGATGTTACCGGAGTGCGAGAGGCTGAGGAAATGGCCCACGATGATGCGTCCGTAGGATTACACCTTAGCGCATGTATAACGACTTTAATATGTAAATGTAATGAATTAACGATGACAAGAACGACTAAGTGAATGTATATATATATGTATATTATCTCATGTGTAATGTCTGCATACTTTTTAAGTTTAATCTGTGAAATCTGGATGTGATTTGAATTTGAATTTGAATTTATATGCCTGTTGTATTTTATTTGAATTTATATGCCTGCTGTATTTTTTTTAATTCAGGAAATAATTTACCGAGACGGGCAAATAATAAAGCCCGCCACGGTTAATCAACATAACCACGGCGGGCCACAAAAGGTGCCCGCCGTGGTTAACCGATTTACCGCGGCGGGCGGTGTAACGTGTCCGCCGTGGTAAAAGTATATTTACCGCAGCGGGCACGTTACACCGCCCGCCGCGGTAAATCGGTTAACCGCGGCGGGCAAAGCCGCCCGCCGCGGTTAAGCCACGATTTACCGTGGCCTCTAGGCCACGGCGGACGGCTTTGCCCGCCGCGGGAAACCCAAATCGCCTGCCTCCAGTAAAGTTTATGTAGTAGTGCCCTTGGGGTCGAGTGACACGGGTCCCGTGCCCAAGGGGTCGGGCGACACGGGGCCCGTGCCCTCAGGGTCAGGCAAGATGGAGACCGTCCCTTCGGGGTCGGTTGGGACTGAAACACGTCCTTGATTATCAAGGCGAGTCGTCGTCCGCGATCCTCAGATCCTCTCTTCGGGTATCCCTAATACTGATACTCGACACTAATGCTCTGGTGAGGGCGTTCGCCCGGGCGTGTCCGTCCGAACGTCCCATTCCTAGGTCTGCGTAGCGACTGGGCCCAACAGCCAACATGCCTGCTCCATCTGTGCTCCTCCTCCATCTCTACACTGCGACAGCTAAGAAATCCCCAACTACCGACTCGCTTTCGCTCATCGCGGCTCACCGCACCGTCCACCCGCACCAAGCAGCCTCGCTGCCGCGCAGCGCCCCATCCTGTGTCACGTCGCGCCATGTCCCATCCCCCACCGCTGTGCGCCATGCCCCGTCCCCCACCGCGTCGAGGTGCTGCCAACACCGTCATTCCCCTGGCCGATGGAGTAGCTTCGTGTGACGCTGTCCCGCTGGCGAGTTGCCCACGCCGTTGCCGCATCGGCGAGCTCCATGTGTCGCTGCCAACCTTCGTGCCGGCAACAACGAGCCTCCATTCCTCCTAGCTGCAAGGTGACATTGTGCTGAAAGCGCATGTTGCAAGAGTATGTTTCAAGTGTTTCAAATGTTTCATCTAGATGTTGCAAAAGTATTTGCACATATTGCAATGGCTATACACGTATGTTGCAAGCGTATGTTTCATCTATTTTTTTCAGACGTATGTTGCAAGTGTGTTTATTTGGATGTTACATATGTTTCACACATATGTTGCAAAGGTTTTATCTAGATGTTACATATGTTTTGCAATGGTTTTTCATGTGTTTTCAGGTGTTTTTGCTAGTGTGTTCAGACACATGTTTCAAGTATTTTATCTGTCTACATACGTATGTTGCAAATGTTTCATCTAGTTTTTCAAAAGTAGATCGGGTGTTGCAGATGTTGCAATGGTGCCGGTGGCTGACGGATAGCGGCCTAATGCAGGGCTTCAGCTCCTACCTCACGCGGCATGCCTCGCCCTCTCCTCCCTTCCCTCCCCCCATCTCGCGTTGGCGTTGGGGTTGTGGTCGGCAAGGGCGTTGGCGTGGGATGCGATACGGGCGCTAGCCCTTCTGATTTTAAGTTTAACCATAACCCTGCTCCCCGCCTCCTCCTCTAAAATAAAATAAAATAAAATAAATGGGAAAAGACAGAGAATTAAATTAGTGGGATGTTTTGGTCAAAGGTGCAAATGTAAAACACAAATAAAGGGGCTAAAACATAAAAATGCCTACTTATATTTTTTTAGATAAAGGAGTCAAATGTCTGGATTCATCCCTTGCAGCCAAGTAAACTAGGCCACTTATTACAAAGAGTTTAAGGTGATGTTTAAATCCAGGGGCTAAAGTTTAGGGGTGTCACATGGGGTTGTTATATGGGAGTGTTCGGATAGTAATAATAAAACAAATTACACAAGTCCTGAGTAATCCACGAGACGAATTTATTAAGCCTAATTAATCCGTCATTAGCGCATGTACTGTAGCACCACATTGTCAAATCATGGACTAATTAGGCTTAAAAAATTCGTCTCGCAAAGTAGTCGTAATCTGTGTAATTAGTTATTTTTTAGTCTATATTTAATACTCTATGCATGTGTCCAAACATACGATGTGATAAGACTAAACTTTAGGGGAACTAAACAAGGCCTAAATATTATTTGGCTATATGAAGGAAGGAAAGAACTGTTGCAATGCAACATTTCAAGCACTCAACAAATTTGAAAAGATGAGTTCCTTGTTTTCTTATGAACCATGGGTGATGACCCAAGTGTTGCAGTATGAACTGGTTAATATAATGCACGTTTTTATTATTACATAGGTTTTAGAGAAGTATACATGTTCCGGTACTTTGCACAATGTAAATGATTTTGTTCTAATTTATGAAACAAAACATATAGGCGTCACAAGTCATCAGCTTGTTCGCTGGGTCGTATTTGGCTTATAAGCCATGACTTATCAATCAACGAACAGTATTTTTTTCTCACACTAAACTAGTCAACAGTACTTTCAGCCATGGCTTATAAGCCAAACCAGCCCAAACAAACAGAGCGCATACAATACACAACACCCCATCTTTGTAATATAGATGTCACTACTTATTTGTACTTACAGAAACAACGTCAGCTAGCATTACTCGTGTACACCACTGTTAGCTAAGCTGCATATCTTCCTGATCAGCCTTTGCCCACCAAGTAACCACAAGCACATATGCTTTGTCATAAAGCTTGTCAAAGAGGCAGAAGTAAGCGATTCGCCAGTTTTTCATGAACAATAGGGCACAAGAAACCAACCAAATGCCTGCTAAGAAGCCATATCCAAGCCCAATGTAAAAGAATCCTTGCCAACGACCTTCTTCGGTTCTTGTAAACGGACCTTGTTCTGATGCATCGGTTTTCAAACAGTTATTTTTTAGAGGAGGTCCACAGAGACCAATGTTGCCAGTATACATATTCGGATGTTCTGCATATAGGGTGTCAAGTTGTGATCCAGATGGTATTGCTCCTGTAAGATTGTTGTAAGACAAGTCCAAGTAACTCAAGAATGTCAAAGTTGACAGACTTATTGGTATTTCACCAGAAAGCTTGTTCCCTGAGAGGTCAAGTGACTCCAGTGATTGCATGGCCCCGATCTTACTTGGAACATTCCCACTGAAGTGGTTCTTCGAGAGATTCAAATTCAGAAGTCCATCAAGGGTGGCTATTTCTTCTGGAATCTCACCAGTGATATTGTTGAAAGATAAGTCAATGACCTTCATATTCAGACCAACGATTCTAGGAATGGAACCATAGGAGAGTTGCTGCCCTTTTAGGAATGTAGAAAAATTGACAGCAAAAACCCTTACATGAAAAACATCAGAACACATTTCTGCCGATTGTTTCTGTTTCAACGACTTCAAATTTGATAGGTTCCTAGGCAAAGAACCTGAGATACGATTGTCTGCTATATCCAAGTATTGAAGGCATCCAAGATTGGTAAGGTTTGTGGGAACCTTCCCAGAGAACATATTTTGACGTAGACGTAAAAACCGTAACCTCTTTAGTTTTCCAACCCACACAGGAAATCTTCCAGAGAACATATTTCTAGATAAATCCAGGACTTGTAGCATTTCACAATTTTGCATAGATGCTGGCAACATTCCAGAAAAAATATTGTTACTAAGATCTAGAAATAACATCACGTTGTTCCCAAAGCAATTGGGCAGTTCTCCATCAAGATGATTGTTGGCTAAGACTAAGGTTCTCAACCCTTGGCTTCTGCAGATGGATCTAGGAACACTGCCAGTGATGCTATTGGAGGCTACGGACAACACCTGAAGGTTTGGAAGTCCAAGATCTTCTGGTAGAGACCCTGACAAGGAGTTGATGCATATGTCCAAGTAGGTTAGATTATTTGGAAGCTTTGGTATTTGCCCGGACAATGAATTGTTACTGAGGTCAAGCTCGTCCAACGATGACATGATATCCATATTTGCTGGCAATTCTCCACTGAGTTGATTCTTTGACATGGACAAAAAACTAGCATTTGAAAACGCAGTAGGGAACCAATCTGGAATCCTATCGGTTATACCGGCACTCGAGATATCGAGATACTCTATGCCCACCAGCCATTTCAACCAGGCAGGAAACATTGGACCCATTTTGCAATTTGCAAAGTTGGCACTTCGTAGTTTAGCAAATGGAGGCTTCCATTTTGTGCTGATTTCAATCTTCAAGAAATTAGAAGACAAGTCTATGTGCTGCAAGCTCTTTAGGCTTCTAGAGTATTCCTCTGTGATGTCACCTTCCAAGCTGTTGTGGCTTACATACAGACCGGTCAAACTACTGAGCGTACCAACCTCACGAGGTAATCCTGTCAGGTTGTTGTAAGAGACGTCTAGCGTCCTTAAACCGGTAATGTACCTTACAGATGCAGGGAGAGGACCTGTAAACTTGTTGGAGCTAAGGTCAAGCATCTTTAAACCAGTTAAATTCCCTATAAATTCTGGGAGAGGTCCTGTAAAGCTGTTCCGACTAAGATCTAGAGCGACCAAGCTTGTCAGCTGCGCCACCGGCTCGGGCAGCATTCCACTAAGAGAGCAGCCGGGAAGACGAAGGACCGTGAGAGAAGGAAGCATAGCAACCACATGGGGCCAGTCAGTTACTGTGCTGAGGTTCACCGAGCCAAGGTTAAGGTATCTAAGGAAACGTAGATGTGCCAGCCATGACACATCCGTTGAGTATGCAGCTCCCATACTACTGCTGCTGAAGAGGTCAAGGTACTGCAGCTGCGTCAGATTTCCAAGATGGGGAGGCACGCTACCATGGAAACCTATGCCGGAGAGGTTGAGGTGCTTGAGGTTCTTGAGGGAGCCCAAGAACTCCGGGATGCGACCCGTCGGGCCGCCACTGAAGTTGTTGTAGCTTAGGTCTAGGTGCTGCAGATGCTCCAGAGCAAGCAAGGAACGACTTATCTGGCCAACCAGGGCTGTGGCGTCACGGTCGACGACGATGTCGTTGTTGGCGTTGCCGAGCCGAAGCTCGATGACATGGCCGGTACGGTCGCTGCACCGGACGCCTCTCCACCGGCAGCAGTCTTGCGTATGCTCGCCGTCGTCGCCGTGGCCACCGTCTGGCTGCTGCTGCTGCCACAGGGCGAGGATGCCTGCCGGGTCGCCGGTGATGCCCTGCTTGAAGGCCAGCAGGGCGTCCCTCTCGTGTGGTATGCAGGTCACGGCGCTGTCAGGTCCGGGGTCGACGGGAGGCTTCTGTGCATGGGCCGTCGCCGTCATGCTGAGGAGGAAGCTGCCGGCGGCGGCGAGGAGCAGCATCAACTTGCTGGGAGCTGAGCAACGCATGGTGGCCTGGTGGGTCGTGATGGAACTGGTGGCGCCGTGGCTATAGCTCTTTAAATAGAAGCCTCGAAGGCACTTGCATAGCTAACTAATTGGAATTTTCGATGCACATTGGTGGACTGAGGCCTCGTGGGGCTGCGTCGCTGAGAGTCCAGATACACATATAGTACAGGTGCACATGCTGCACAACTAGGTCATCAGAGACGACTTCAGCTGCTCACCCACCACACGCAGCAAGGTGTGTTTACCATTGACTGGCATTTTGGAGAATGGTGAGAGTACTACTTTTTTTTTAAGCTCCATAATTGAGCACGAGCTCAATTATTGCCTGATCATGACATGATTTTGTTGAGTGAAAATTTTGATAAACCTACTTACTGTCTCCATCTTCAATGAGTGTCATTCTCACTTCCTAATAAGCTAAATAATTTTTACTTTGACTAAACATATAGAAAAAAGTTATTAATTTTTATGGTGCAGAATAAATATTATTAGATTAATTATTAAATATATTTTTATAATAAACTTATTTGGAGATACAAATGCTATTAATATTTTTTACAAACCTAGTTCAATTTAAGAAAATTTCACCTTCGCGGAACCCTATGCGTCACTCGTTTGGGATAGAGGGAGTATGTAATTCCAACCGTGCTTCTTGGCGTTTTAATTTGCTAAGAACAAAAGGTTCTGCCTGATTATGGATCAAACAATTACTGTTTTGTTCATGTGCGCGAAACAACATATATCAATCATCGTGTCATGAACAAATAAATGAATTATGTTCCGTCAAAAATACAAACACCATCATGTTTTGAACAATTTCCAAAATGTTATGCACGGACACACAATGTTTAGTCAAAAAAATAATAATTTGATAGTCTGCAAATGGACCCGATTTTTTCATGATTTCCTCTCTGTGTGTAAAAATATATGAGAATTAAACAATTTTTCGATGTGAACTAAGCTTCATATCTTAATTATGGTTAGGTTCCGATCCTGTTCACTCAGGTTTAGGGCCCGTTCGTTTCTCTCGGAATTGTGCCCCGGAAGATTTTCACTTGGAACCGCAGGCTAATTTATATAGCAATTGAATATCCAGAACGAATCCTGGCCTCATTCCGGAACAACCGAATGAGCCCTTAGTGGTAAGCACAATGTGATGTATTTGGCGCATTATCAGTGGATAATTATTTTTGCAAAACCATGGGATAAGTCGGTACCCGCCTCTAGGCGTTCGCCAACCGATTACGTTCATGGTTTTCAGCCCAACAAGCATCATGGCTGCAGCCTATCACAAGGCCCATACGGCCCAATGGGTTGTAGCACCATTCCAACAGCAAGGCCGGCATACACACACCTCGTAAGAGGACGCAGGAGCCACGCGCGGTGGACGTGTCCACAGGTAGCCTGTCTGCACTGGTCCAGAGTCCAAACCCGTTCGATCAAGATTCTTAGACTCATGACCACGCACTAGGATCCCCAACCTCTTCTCGTTCCCCCGAAGGGGGGCAGGGGCGCGGGGGCATGGGCCATGCCCATACGCGCGCGTCTCTCGTCGTCGTCGTCCTCATCGGATCAGACCGTCCCGTCAGTGACGCCACGGACAGAGAGGAAAGCAACACGGACAGGTGGTCCGCAATCTTCATCCCGGCTCCCCGGCTGGCCCTGCCATGCTTACACTCCCCCCCTGCAACTCCAACGCCGCCCGCGCTGCGCCGCTGCCTGCCTGGATCTCCACTACGCACGACGATCTAGAAAGCTTGGCCGCCGCCCGGCCAACCAGGTCCCCCATCTTTACAGTACCCATGATGCCGTGAGGTTTGACCCCTGATCGCCGAGCCGAGTCACGCCGTCGTCACCCGATCGGCGCCGGATTCCGTGCATGACAGGCGCGTGCAGTGCAGTGCCTGCATCATGCATGCGACGCGATGCAGTTGCGGTAGCAGGCGACTCCAATCATTACAGAGCCGGCCGGTCAGCATGCCACCGCCCACCGCCCACCGGCGAGCGGCGGAGAGCCGATACATACTCGGCTCGCTAGGGGACCAAAGCCCAAAACGAAACGGCGACATGGGACATGCCGATCGAACCGGCCCAGCGGAGTTGGCGACGACGACGGTGCCGGACGCGATGATGAACTTATCCCCAGCACTGTTCCTCCCTGCTAGCTAGCTAGCTAGGCGCGATGCAGCAACAGCACTGCACTGTAGTGCATGCATGCCAACTCCTACCTAGCCTGGGCCCACCTATTGCGGCTCCTCTGTTCGCTCGTTGGACCGACCGGCCGGGACCATCGCATATGCTGGGTGCGTACATACGCCGCGTGACGTGACGCGATGCACACACATCTGATGCGTGCCACCACGAGCCAATGCCGGTCGGGCGATCGGTCCAGCCCAGTTGGGCCCCCAGCTGCCGTCCCGCGGGGGAGCGGCGCAGAGGCGTGGCCGGGCTCAGCCCGCAGCTCCTGTTCCGGGCGGACCGGCGCGGCGGGGCCTCCCTCTCCGTCCCCTGCATGGGCCCTGGGGGTCCTCCTGGGCCACCGTATGCCGTCGCCTTCCTCCTCCTCTGGGTGCACCGCCTCGCGGCCACCACCGGACAGACATGGGACGCGTGACGGGGGCGCTGGTCAGTGGTCACGCCGCTATTTGCCGTTGCCTGGCTGCACTCACGGCTGCGCCTGGAATGGACGCGTGGCCGCGGGTGGGTGTGGACGGAGGGTGGGCCGACGCCCGACCCGACGACTCAGGCTCGTGATGTGGTGTGGGTCAGCAGAGATGCAGAATTCAGCAGCGTCTTCAGTATTCACCGTCAGTATATACCCGATGCTGTTATGCGATTTTTTACCCCATGATGTGTACACCTACATCGACGGGTGATTCTAGTGTGAGGCCTCTTGTAGTGTACAATCCCAGCCAGCCATGAGCCATTGCACTTTCAGTTTCAGGGCGCTACCGAGTACCGACCAAGAAAGCGTCAGCTCTGTTTCGTTTCCCGATTCAGAATCCGCAACCAGGACGAGCCTTTATTTATTGCCGGTGCGAAACGATCCCATCGATTTCATTACACTTTCACCCCCAACACGTCCAGACAGGGAGAGAGCATCGACGACGACGAACCCTCGTCGTGATAGAGAACACGACGGATTCGGGCACTGTTGCCACTTCCACGGCGACCACTGCACTGCGCACTCCGGGCAGAGGCGGGCAGGCCTACCCTTCCCATGATCCCGTCGTCCCAGCCAGATCCGTCGCAGCGCAGGCCGCCCAGGCGGCCAGGCCCCCAAGGCCCCAATCGAGAAACTGTGCACCCATCAGCTGGCAGCAGGTTCGCATTGCACTGCCGATCCATGTTGCCAGCCTTTCTTTCGCCTTCACGCCGCATCCCGCATCTCGCCACGAATAATGGCGCCATTCAAGCGGTTGTACGACGCCCATGTCAAGGCCCGGCAATGGTGAGTGCCGGTACTGTGCGATACGGTCGTCGCTCTTCACTGCCGCCACATGCCGCAAACAGATCGGCCCTGTTCGCTTCTCCGTATTTTCAAGCTTGTTTTTTCAGCGTTTTTCTCTCGCGACAAATCATCCGACATCAGAGTAAGGGCACGTTTGGTTTTTATAAGTCAGCTTTATTAAGTCAGGTAACTGAAAAACCAGTGATTTATAAGTTATATCTGTTTAGTTATAGATGACTTATAAGCTTCTCATTAAAGGTGTGAGACCCACGCGAAAAAGATAACTTATAAGTTTTAAGCAGAGGTGAACCAACTTAAAACTTATAAGCAGAGATGACTTATAAGTTGATGATATTTAACAAAATAAGTCACTTTTTTTACTTTTTAACTTATAAGTGGTGACTTATTTACAACCAAACATGCCCTAACATGCTAGCCATGACGCCGGAACAGAACCGAAACGGCCAGTGCAGCTGAAATGCATCCATTGTTTCCTTGGTTGGAGTTCTGGAAACTGCTTCGTAATTATCGGCGTTACATGGCTACTAATTAACAGTTCCGATTAGCAATGCTAATTAACATGATTAAGGCGTGGTAAAAAACGGGTTATAGTTTTACATCACTGGCTAATTGAAGACGGCGAAGTACAGGAGACGCAAACCAAAAGTTAAAAAACTCGATTATTAATCTTCCTTCAAATAGCTTCTCTAATCCTCCTCTGCTCTTCACGTCTCACCGATGCCTACTGCGTGATCAGAACACCAGCTTCCGGCGTGGCAGGGGCCGGTCCGCGTCAGCAAGCTCCCGGATGGTGTCCGCGACCAGGTCCTTGAACACCAGCCGCTCGATCTGCAGCACCGCGTCGGCGACCTCCGCGCCGTGCCGCTGCCGCTGACCCTGCTGCAGCGACCCCCACGGGCCGCAGCTGTCCGCGGCCAGGTCGCGCCGGATCGCGCTACAGGTGACGTCGTTGAGGTCCGCGTCCTCCCCCGCGGCGCGCGCCACGACGGGCTCGCCGGCGCGCTGGACCTCGGCCCAGGCGTGGGCCACGAGCTCGGCGCCGCGGAGCCACGCGGCGGGCTCCCAGGGGCACGCCGCCCGCTGCCGCTCCAGGGCCTCGGCCACCGCGCCGCACAGCAGCCTCCGGTGGTGCCACGTGTCGGGCTCGCCGTTTCCACGCTGGCGCCTGCGCTGCTCCGCGGCCCGGTATGCGTCGGCCGGGTCCCGCGTTCGGCGGGCGCCACCGAGCAGCCGGACGAGCTCCGCCACGTACGCGTAGTCCGGGTCGCTGCTACAAGCCTCCGGGTCAACGGACCATGACGACGGGGCCCACTCGTCATCCTCTGGGTCGGACACCATGGCGGCCGCCGGCTTTGGGCGGCTTACGCTGCTGGTGCGGAAGTCGATGGCTCGTTTTGACCGCGACGACGATGACGGCGAGTCCTCGTCCGCGAGGAAGGCAGCCGCGTCGAGCACGGACACGGGGCTGGGCTGCTGGTCGGTCCCCGCCGCGTCGCCGCCGGTGAACGCCTGGATGCTGCTCAGCAGCTTCCCGCACCGCTCCAGCAGGCCGCGGTCCGTCCTGGGGTCCGGCTGCTGCAACGGTACCAGAGAAGGTTAAGACATTCAGTAACACCGTAAAATGTTACGAGATTAGGACTGCTGGTGTAGGCGCGGGAGGCTTACCGGCTCGAAGTCCCAGCGGGAGGAGGCGCTCAAGGAGCTGCTGCTTCCGCCGTCGGAGAATGTGGTGGAGGCCTCGTCGTCGGGGGACAGGGCAGCTGCGTTGTGCGCCGCGCGGCGGGCTATGCGGGAGTGGGCACCGGCGGAGTCGAAGCCGCTTGGCTTCCTGAAAGGACTCTGCTGCTGCTTCGGGGACTGCGCCGGCGAGACGCGCAGCTGGGGGGACAGCGAGCCACGCCGAGCCGGGGAGGCCGGGCTACGTGCGGGAGACGCTGCCAGGTCCGGCGAGCGCGGGCGGCGCGCGCGGTCGACGTCCACGCGAAGCCGGCGCGCGGGCGTCAGCCGCGCCGGCGGCGACATCTGCGGCGGCGCGCGACTCGACGGGCGCATGACGACGATGGGTGGCGGATGGGTGCGTGCCTGCGCAGGCGCCGGAGGAGGGGTGTGGTGGAGGAGCCCTTTGAGCTGCAGCGCCTCCAGTATCTGCTTCAGCGTCTCGAGATCCCGCGCGGGCTCCGCGATGCCGCGCTTGCGGAGGCGCCGCTCGATCTCGCCGTAGAGCGCGATCTCGCCATGGGCGGCGCCGCCGGACGCCTGGTCCGCGCGCTGTTTCGCGGGCTCCGGGAACACATCGTGCGCGTCGAAGCGGCTGCGCCTCTGGAACACGCGCGGGACGACGGCCGGATCCGGCACCCGCCGCATTGCCGCCGCCTCCTCGGCCGTCGGGAACGACGCCGGCGACGGCCGGTGCGGCGGCAGCGTTAGCGGCGACGCCGCCGGCCTCTCGAAGAAGGACGGGTCGACGAAGCGGAACTGCGACGGGTCCCGCGGCACGCGCTCGGACGCGGACCGCCGGAGCGCGGCCGGGCTCGCCGCGCCGCTGCCGTGCCCGTGCGGCCCGCACTCGACGTCCGCCGCCTGGTGGCCGTGCGGGAGCGCGTCGAGGCCCATGAGCCGCGCGACCACGCTCGGGGACCGGCGCTCGTCGCCTCCCCCCGCGGACGGAGACGGCGGCGCGCCGGCGACGGGCGAGGTCCGGATCTCGCGCGGCCGGAGCTTGCCCCTGGCGTCAACCACCGCGCGGCTGTCCAGCGAGAGCCGCGGCAACCTCCACGACCGCGCGGCGCCGTAACCACCGCCACCGCCTCCGCCTCCGCCTCCGTCCTTGAGGTCCATCGGCGGGAGCTGCAGCGACGGCCGCGGCGCGGCCGGCGGCGTCATGTCCGGCGACGATGGCGCCGGCGTCGCGCGCTCCAGCGGCATCGACCGCTCGGATGGCGTCGCCGAGCCCTGAAACACACACAGCACAGCGGTCACAACCAGGATTCGATAACCGTTTACAGACGTCTTCGAGCTGCTTCAGAGGGGCAAGAGCGCGCGCGTACGTACACTGGAGAACGACGTGAGGCGGCGCTGCGAGTTGTGGAGGCGGCGGCCGGAGAGGATCTGGGGGCGGTCGAACAGGTGGAGGAACCCCGCCATGCAGCCCTGGTGCATGGGCCGCTCATCCAGCCGCCGCTCTTCGTCCTCGTCCACGCCCATCGCCACCATCCTGCTCCTCCTCTGCTTCCTCTCGCCTCCTCTGCGTGCGGCCGCGGCGCTCTGGGGTGCCTCGCTCTGTTCGGCTCCCGCTTTTGGGAGCAATTTAAAGCGGTGGCGGGGGGACTCCAAATGACGCTACTACCCCCGCGCTACTTGTATAAATTTCGGATTGCCACTGTGTCTCGTGTCGACGCGTCGGGGTACGAGCGGGTGGGGAGGCGAGACGTTGGCGCCTAGGGAGCCGGGGCGTCGTCGACGGCATAGCTGGCCGTGCTGAGGATGACGCGTGGGCCCCGGTGTCATGCACTTTTTGCCTTTTTTGTTGTTTTTTTTTTCGGCGGCTTTGTTTAAAGGTGTGTTGTGTCAGTGGAGCTCGTGCCGTCGTGCGTGCGTGCATCGGCTCACTGGCTCGTTCGGCTTTTTACGGCTATGAGCTTTGGCCGGTGTGTTAGCGTGATGGGGCATGCGGCATGCCTTTGGCGATAACTGTGTTAGGAAATGATGATACTATCGGTTTACGTGTTTGCGGCAAATGTGTGAGCCACATAGACATACTAGTGACGTACTTGTGACGAATGCTTGAAGTGTACGTAGGCAGAAGAAGATTGAGACAAATAATAATAATTCACGTTGTCACGTACCTGATGTTGTGTATATTCACTCTGGTCGTATGGATGACAGTTGGACCATAGACAGAGGTACCCACAGGTTTCATAGTCGACAGGTTTGGACACAGGCTATAAGCCTGTACTCACGAATGTGTAGTAAGGTGTGGATATTATATTTCACTACTATCGAGGGCACGGAATTCAGTATAACTATATGTAGGATTATGGTTAAAAGGCCCAAGTTGGCCCAGCCCAAGAAAAATCCTAACTTATCTGCAAACATGGTCACAAGAATTGTCACACCTCCCGTCCTTCGGTCGTCACACATTCTCGCTCACACGTGTTTGAGCAACGATGTCAATTATGCGTGACGCGCCTCACCTTCGCCCTTATCTTCTCCGGTCGGACCACCCCATGCCTCCTCTAGTTCACCCTCCTCGCCGCCCCCTCCAATCTACCTACCATCAGTCAGGTCCTCAACTCTCGGCCCCTTGCTGCAGGCCACGATCTATGCTCATTGAGTGCAAGAACTCTTGTGGTCGTGCCCAACCGGAGGCAAAAGTGTACGACACCGGCAGGGTTCCAAGCCTCCATTGACGAGGGCATGTGGTGTCCTCATACCGCTCCTCCACTCTTCTGGAACCTAGACGAGACCCTCGCACACTTCCCAATCCGGCCAAATCCCTCTTTGGTCTATGTGTGGGTAAGTACGAGTACAAATTCTTAAACCTAGGGCTTCCCGAGCATCGGTAAGACTTAAGGTTTCTGGTAAACTCTTGGGCACGTAATTGTTCTACCCACATATTACCAAACCTGCTACCATCCCTATATATTTGAAGAGATAATGTGTGTTTCTGTTGCCAAACAACATTTCGTCATACACTTTGATTTCCGAGTTAACCACCACATACGGAAAATACTCTCTCTGTCTAGTTATCATGATAGTATCTCAATCAAGTGCATTATAGGCAACATCCTCTGGTCGCACCTTTGTTGTCTTGGGTACACCTAAAATGCATTGTGCATTGACCCATATACTATCTCTGCTAGTTACCATGACACTTCATTGTTTGAGCCCTAAAGGGCTATCATAATGGTGGTATGGGGCGGAGTCAGACAGATCTTGCATCGGGTGCTATTATAGTTGGAAACGCTAAACAAGTATGTGACTAATAGAAATTACACCAACCTTTAGCTTATGTTACATGGGGTTAAGTAATTACGTAGCTTGGACCGGTCGTGGCTCCACAAGTAATGAGGGTGGTAGAATCGGCCCGTTCTTATGAAATTCCTACAATGATAGAGATATTGTAACACTAATACATACAAGTTTCTCTGTTTTTAAAAATACTCCTTTCATCTCGAAAACATTATCGGTAGAAATATAAATGTTGTAGGTTTTGTTGTTGGTAGAGCAACACGCTTTTAAGATAGGAGGTTGTATAAGGTTGTGTAAGTTAGGACGTGTACAAAATTATCGATACTCTTTTTATTGAAAACAATTATAAAAGTAAAATATTTTAAATGACAAGATCTGTATATTATGGAAGCATTTTTCGTAGGTGATACTAAAATGCTAACCTGGTGGTGTAAATATATAAAAATTTCCACATATTGGTGGTTACAATTAGAACAAACCTAAAATGGTTAAATATTTACGAGTAGAGGAGTTCTTGACAACAAAATATATTGGAGAGTTGAAGATTGATTGAAAAACACTTGCTAACATGAAAAGAACAAAAAGATTGAATTTGGATTAATTGGGGCAAAATTTGCAAAATCCTAGAAAAAACGGTTTCGGAAATCGGACTAAGTTGATTTTGGTGATATGGGCTCAAATTTATGCCTTTTCATCTAGAAACACATTCGATCTTGTGGAAAGTGTGGGCATATATTTTGTACTTGGGCAAATCACCTATCTATTTATACGAGAGTATACCACGGACGATGGAGAGATTTATCTATCCAATCGATTAAAAAAACACATCTACTATTCTTTCTACCAGGTGAAGTGTTCGTGTGGGAATGTAGTGTTAGACGGGAATGTATTGTTAGACGAGAACCGACCTCAAAGTCGGCAAGGCTAATCTTTGGCCAGCCTCTATCTAGCGATCTAACTCACTACCGGTTCTGTGAACTAATTAGCGTCAACAGGGGTGTTCCTTGGCTTTGTATAACCGGGCCAGAGTGGCCTTTGCACACCACTGGCGCGCGGTAGTTTCAGCGTCCAAACTGAAATGTTCCGAGTCTTACCTGAGACTTCAGTTGGGAACTCGGTCGTATGCACTGAACGGGGCCTGCACGTACGAGTAAGCCATTCCGTGTTAGGCCCGAAACGGAATACAACAAACCAATAAGCGTGAACAGTGGTAGTGGTAACGCCAACAGCTTCTCGATCTGGTTCCTAGACGACGACGACCGAGCCGAGCTCCCAACCCCCAACTCCCAACCGTCGAGGCTGAGCCCACCGTCACAGATTGACGAACCAAAAATCTGCCGTCTCCCCACGCTACCGCCGGCCCCCGTGCCCCACGGTCCGTCAGTCCCACACTGTCAGGTATCGATACTAAGTATATCCGAAGAAAAGAAGTTAACGGCCACGAACGTTAATTCGTCCGGATGGTCGACGTATTTAAGGTCTCGCCCGACCTCGAGGGTGCGGGCTCCGTCTCGCCAGACCCCTTGGACGCGGGCTTCGTCTCGTCTGACCCCAAGGGCGGGGCCTCCGTCTCGCCAGAACCCTCGGGCGCAGGCTCTGTCTCGCCCGACGGGATCCATACCGCCTTCAACCACTACGGGTGTCGTTGTTTCGGACCGGGGGTCCCCAACCAACCAGTGAATTTGAATTGCGTGCCCCCAATTCCGGATGGTGATGCAAAGAGACACAAGGTTTATACTGGTTCAGGCAATTAGTGCCCTACGTCCAGTCTGAGAGATTGATCTTGTATTCCTTGCACCGAATTGCTTGTAGTAGGGGGTTACAAGCAGGGTGAGAGAGGGAGCTAGTCCCAGGTCTCGGCGTGGAACGGTGCGGGCTGCTTGAGACGTTGCTCTCAGGTGACTTGGGAGCGCGTGTGTCACAGAGTGTTGCTTGGGCGTGTGTGAGAGTGTGGTTCTTTCGTATGTTTTTTGGTTGCCCCCCTAGAGCTATCCCTGGCAGCTTCCTTTTATAGCCGCAAGGAGGGAGCCAGGAGTACAAGAGTGAGCAGCACGTGGAGCCTACTGTAGTTCTATCCTGTAGCAGCATGGTGTTGGGAACAGCGATCGGTATCTGACTGGCGCGTCGTGCTGGCCGGGCTCGAGGTTGTTGAGGTCGTGGGGGTCCTTGTTGATGTCTAGTCAGTATGGCCTCCATTGTAGGAGACATGCCGTGCCTTGTGGATTCTTGACTCGGTGGAGTGCCGAGGCTTGGCGGGTGCTGTAGCTGATCGTGCCGAGGCCTGCTTTGCCGATGTAACGTCCCGCCTCTCCGAGGCCGGGCCCGCTTACATCTGGCAGCTTCTCTAGGATATAGACTGCCCTCACAGACCAATACAGGTCTTTTCTGCGCACTTTGTCCTCACTCGTGCGCACCCAGGAAGGACTTCCCGGTCGGTCACCCATCGCTCTAGGCCAAGCACGCTTAACCTCGGAGTTATTTGCAGATGGGCTTCTAGAAAAGAAGTTGCAACTTATTGGTATGAGTATCCTATTAATCCTGTTAAGCCCTGGGCCGAGATGTTACATCCTCACCCCCTTAAGAGATCGACGTCCTCGTCGATCAATCCTAAGCCAGAGCGTCCTCTCTTGGCCACGCCCGGTGTGTCGAGCCAAAGACATGTGCCATCTTTGTGTGACCACGCGGATCCACACCACCATGCGCACCATGCTCGCAAGAATCGCTGCGACACGCGCCGTGAAACCGCGAGAGTCGGCTCGATACCATTCTCAGAACGCCCGCCTCTCCGAGGCGGGCCCGCTTACATCTGGCAGCTTTCTAGGATATAGATCGCCCTCACGAGACCAATACAGTCTTTTTCTCGCGCACTTTGTCCTCCTCACTGCGGCGCACCCGGAAGGACTTCCGGTCGGTCACCCATCGCTCTAGGCCAAGCACGCTTAACCTCGGAGTTATTTGCGGATGGGCTTCGAGAAAAGAAGTTGCAACTTATTGGTATGAGTATCCTATTAATCTGTTAATACGGGCCGAGATGTTACTGGCCCGAGGCCTCGGAGAGGTGACCCGTGTATGATGCAGGGGTCTCGGTGGTCGGCTGCATTTGCCAGTTCAGTGAAAAAGTGCGAGCATGCGTCCACAGGCACGATAATCCTCGCATTGTCGGTAGAGGGATGGTAAAAGGAGATTTGACATTTGTCCCATCGCCCTATTTCGCATACCACCGCCGTCGTGTAACGAGGTAG